TTGTGTCTGCAGCACAGAGAAGGAAGATTATCCGAGAGAAATCCAGGAATACAGGACGGGGAACACAGCTCAGGAAAGTGACCAGGGGATTACAGGCTGATATCACCCAGTCCCCGCCCTACTCTGGACCAATCAGTGAGCAGTATGGGTGGAGGAATGGATTTAGTGTTCATGACCCACCTGTGCTGATCTCTGTAGGAGTGTCCTCCTCTATAAATGTCCCCGTTATTCCATCCTCCTCCATAGACTGCTGATCATCCCTCACATACGCCTCTTCTTCTTCTGCTTTCACCTCAAATTCTATATCGATTGGATCTCCACTCTAAATCAAGGAAATGAGAGAAAATATCATCTGTAAAATGTAAGGTCACATAAAATATCCACACATCATCTCCACAAGTTCATGTTCTAGATGCTCCATCCCACCAACCTTGTAATAGTGAGGGATGGTGTGACCTTCCTGTGTGGAATCCCGGGAATACAGAGGATGGGGACATCTCTCTGGTGGGTTCCTGGTATTAGGTGGCTCCATCATATCCTTGTGTCCTTCTGAAAACTCCTCCATCACTCCATACTCCTCATCCTCCTCTTTATACTCTTCTTTAACATCAATATTCTCATCCCCGAGGATTCCACTCTGAAAGATATAATAAAACATTCATTGTAACAAACATGCTGTGTATAAATCACAACTACCAATAATTGTCATCATCTACCTGATGATGGTGAGGGATGGTGTGACCTTCCTGTGTGGAATCCCGGGAATACAGAGGACGGGGACATCTCTCTGGTGGGTTCCCATGACTGGATCCATCTGTAGGAAACACACACCACTGACTGAATCCATTGTTTCTATGTGTGTTATCAGATGATGGGGGATCTAGGTGGATCCTCCGTACTGCTCTCCCTTTACAATAAAGTCTCATCTCTTACCCTCTGATGTGAGGGGCCGGCTGATTTCCTTTCATGACGTCCTTTAGAGATCTCTCAGGTTTGTCCTCTCTAAATAATTGATGTGTATCATCATCTGCTGGAGATAAAAGAGACATCACAGTGACTAAGGAATACATCAGTGATTGTTCTCATTATCTACCTGATGATGGTGCTGGACACCAGGACTGGAAGTCATGTGCGCTCGGACATCCCGTCTTATTTACAGAGGACTGGGGACCATCTCCTAACTACTGGAGATATCTCCCATGGACTATCTCACCCCCACCTAGGACCCAGCACACACTCACTGACGAATGCAAATCTATGTCATAAAGAAGATGATGCAATTCGTAGGGATCCTCACCACTGCTCTCTCCCAACCCACTTAGTCTACCTTATACCCTGGTCCTCAACACTTTCTCTTCTGACCTTCTACACAGAAGAGGTCACTGGTTCCGAGATTCAAATATTCTCACCACCTCCCCTGGATGCTCCCCTCACAAAGACATCACCCTGCACTATCCATCCATGCTCCCTACTACTTGCTCTCACTGGTTACCCCTGCCCCTTCACCTCTGGAAGTCATGTGCCTCGTGTACCCCCTCCATCTTATTTTCCTCAGCCCTTCACTCCTAACCTCTGATCCTCTCCCCTCACAACTACTCCACATACTTTAACAACCCTGGTCCCCACCGAATGCAACTTAAGACCCCTCTCCCTGCTGCCATTTCCTCTTTCTCCTAGAACGCTCTACAATCGCCTGAGCTCCCCCTCACCCAACAACCTCCACATCACCCCACAGTCTGGCCACTCTACACTACCACTGACACCGCCCACTAAAAACTCACTAAGATTCTACTATCTGCTAAAACCAATGCCATTACCTCAAACCATCCCAACAATGGCCACTGCCGACTCCCCCAACCAAGCACCTTATACTAAACCTCCCCAACCACTGACCACTCCTCCGTTCATGACCTCGCTACTACTGACTCATCCCAACCAATAACCACTACTCCATACCAAGCCCAACCATGGCCACTACTGCCCCCTGGATACTCATCCCAAACAATGGCCACTACTCCATACTCTTCCCAACCAATGGCCACTCACTCCATACTCATCCCAACCAATGGCCACTACTCCTACTCATCCAACCAATGACACTCACTCCATACTTAAGCCCCAACCAATGGTCACAAACTCCGTACTCATCCCAACCAATACACCACTACTCCATAAATCCCACCTCCCATAACCACTGGTCACTTACCATACTCCTATCCCAACCAATGGCCACTACTCCATACTCATCCCAACCAACGCCACTACTCCAACCTTCCCAACCAATTCACTACTCCGTACTCATCCCAACCAATGGCCACTACTTCGTACTCTCCCAACCAATGGCACTACTCCCTACAATCCCAACCAATGGCCACTACTAACAATGGATACTCCTAACTCTGCCCAACCAATGGCCACTACTCCGTACTCATCCCAACCAATGGCCACTACTCTGTACTCATCCCAACCAATGGCCACTACTCCGTACTCATCCCAACCAATGGCCACTACTCCATGTACTCATCCCAACCAATGGCCACTACTCCATACTCATCCCAACCAATGGCCACTACTCCGTACTCATCCCAACCAATGGCCACTACTCCATACTCATCCCAACCAATGGCCACTACTCCATACCATCCCAACCAATGGCCACTACTCCATACTCATCCCAACCAATGGCCACTACTCCGTACTCATCCCAACCAATGGCCACTAAACAACCATACTCATCCCAACCAATGGCCACTACTCCGTACTCCATCCCAACCAATGGCCACTACTACTCATACTCAATCCCAACCAATGGCCACTACTCCGTACTCATCCCAACCAATGGCCACTACTCCATACCATCCCAACCAATGGCCACTACTTCTGTACTCATCCCAACCAATGGCCACTACTCCCGTACCATCCCAACCAATGGCCACTACTCCGTACTCATCCCAACCAATGGCCACTACTCCATACTCATCCCAACCAATGGCCACTACTCCGTACTCATCCCAACCAATGGCCACTACTCCGTACTCATCCCAACCAATGGCCACTACTCCGTACTCATCCAACCAATGGTCACTACTCCGTACTCATCCCAACCAATGGCCACTACTCCGTACTCATCCCAACCGATGTGACTACTCCGTACTCATGCCAACCGATGGTCACTACTCCGTACTCATCCCAACCGATGGTGACTACTCCGTACTCATCCCAACCAATGGTCACTACTCCGTACTCATCCCAACCAATGGCCACTACTCTGTATTAACCCCAACCAATGTCACTACTCCGTACTCATCCCAGCCAATGGCCACTACTCCATACTCTTACTACTTGACCTCTCTGTGGCTTTTGATACTATTGACCATCCCCTCCTCCTCAAAAAACACCACTCTCTTGGCCTCAGAGACTCTGCTCTCTCCTGGTTCTCCTCCTACCTATTGCAGCGCTCCTTCAGTGTTACCTATAACTCCGCCTCCTCCTCTTCACTCCCTCTCCATCTACACCTCCTCCCTTGGTCACTTGATAAACTCCCATGGCTTTAAGTACCATCTCTATGCTGATGACACACAAATCTATCTTTCTACCCCTCCCCTCACCCTTCAGTCTCCTCCCCAGTCACCTCACCTCCTCAGTCTCACCTCCCTCCTCCACCTCGCCCCTTCAGTCTCCTCCTCCCCTCGCCCCTTCTTCCTCCTCACCTCCTCCTCACCTCGCCCCTTCAGTCTCCTCCTCCTCGCCCCTTCAGCTCTCCCTCACTCGCCCCTTCAGTCTCCTCCTCACCTCGCCCCTTCAGTCTCCTCCTCACCTCGCCCCTTCAGTCTCCTCACCTCGCCCTTCAGTCATCCTCCTCACCTCACCCCTTCAGTCTCCTCCTCACCTCGCCCCCTCAGTCTCCTCCTCACCTCGCCCTTCAGTCTCCTCACCTCGCCCCTTCAGTCTTCTCCTCACCTCTTCAGTCTCCTCCCGCATTACTAACCTACTAAGTGACATATCGGCATGGATGTCACTCCACTTCCTCAAACTAAATCTTTCCAAAACTGAGCTCTTAGTATTCCCCCCCAGCCCGTGCCCCCTCCCCCGACTTCTCCATCAAGATCAATAACACAATCATCAGTCCCTCCCTCATGCCAGGGTACTAGGTGTAATCCTAGACTCCCATCTGTCCTTTCAACCCCAAATCCAATCACTGTCCAAATCTTGTAGACTTCACCTCCACAACATCTCCAAGATACGCCCGTTCCTAACCTCGGAAACCACTAAGCAACTTATTCACTCTTTTTTGTATCTCGCCTTGACTTGTAACTCCCTCCTCATTGGCTGACCTCATCGCAGGCTATCCCCTCTTCAGTCTATCATGAATGCTGCTGCCAGACTCATCCACCTTACTAACCGTCCTGTATCTGTCATCCCTCTCTGCCAATCCCTCCACTGGCCTCCACTCAGTGTCCTCCACCCCTCTCTGCCAATCCCTCCACTGGCCTCCATTCAGTGTCCTCCACCCTCTCTGCTCTGCCAATCCCATCCACTGGCCTCCATTCAGTGTCCTCCACCCCTCTCTCTGCCAATCCCTCCACTGGGCCTCTACTCAGTGTCCTCCCACCCCTCTCTGCCAATCCCTCCACTGGCCTCTACTCAGTGTCCTCCACCTCTCTCTGCCAATCTCCACCGGCCTCTACTCAGTGTCCTCCATCCCTCTCTGCCAATCCCTCCACTGGCTTCCACTCAGTGGTCCTCCACCCCTCTCTGCCAATCCCTCCACTGGCCTCCACTCAGTGTCCTCCACCCCTCTCTGCCAATCCCTCCACTGGCCTCCACTCAGTGTCCTCCACCCTCTCTGCCAATCCCTCCACTGGCCTCCACTCAGTGTCCTCCACCACCCTCTCTGCCAATCCCTCCACTGGCTTCCTGTTGCCCAACGGATAAAATTTAAAACATTAACAATAACATATAAAGCCATTTATAACTCCGCCCCAAATTACATCACCGATCTTGTCTTTAAATATCACCCAAACCTTCCTCTCCGCTCCTCACAAGACCTCCTGCTCTCTAGCTCCCTTGTCTCCTCCTCCCATGCTCGTCTCCAGGACTTCTACAGAGCTTCCCCCATCCTCTGGAACTCTCTACCCCCAATTTATCAGACTATCGCCTACTCTGCTCACTTTTAGGGATCTCTGAAAACCGATCTCTTCAGGGAAGCCTATCCTGCCCTCAGCTAATACTGGAATCTTCTACTCCTCCTACCAGTCCATCCCCCACAGTTACTACCTATTGTACCACTAGCCCCATCCCTCCTAGATTGTAAGCTCCCAGGATCAGCCCCTCCCTCTTAGATTGTAAGCTCCAGGATCAGGCCCTCCTATCCCTCTTGTATTGATCTGTATTGTTTCCTGTTATATTGTACAGCGCTGAGCAAACTGTTAGCGCCATAAATCCTGTATAATAATTACCTCCTCTACTGCCACGTCAGCAACCTCTCCGATCTCCTTCAGACCAAAGGGAACGTCTTATCTTTATTCCAGATCACTTCCTGCCTGTTCCTGACATCACTTCCTGTCTGTTCCTAACATCACTTCCTGTCTGTCCTGTCCGTATTCCATAGAGAAGTCCTGTCTGGGGTAGTAGAAATAAGATCACCATCTTGTGGAGTTAGGAGGAACTGCAGCCCCCAGAAAAAGTCCCCCCTAATACCCATTCCTGCATTGTATTACCTTACAGAGATATCAGGGAAGTTCCAAAATACCTAAAAAAAAGTAAGAAACAATAAACCTAATTCTTATGCAACCAACTGTTTTAAAAAAGATATTTTACTACAGATAGAAAAGTCTTAAAGACACAGAACACAAGATAAAAACAAAGGTATACATAATAAAACAGAGACCCCCCAAAATCAGACAGACTACCCAGAATGTTCCGTCCTTCCTATCAGAGAGAGACAGACTACCCAGAATGTCCCATCCTTCATATCAGAGAGAGAGAGAGCTACCCAGAATGTCCCCAATCCTTCCATATCAGAGAGAGAGAGACAGACTACCCAGAATGTCCCCGTCCTTCATATCAGAGAGAGAGAATACCCAGCACATCCTTCAATCAGAGAGATGACAGACTAACCAGCAATGTATCCGTGAGAGACAGATCTATCGCAGAGAGACAGACGAGTTCCAGAATGTCCCTCCTTCATAAACCCAGAATGTCCCGTCCCGATATCAGAGAGAGAGACAACTAACTTCCAGAGAGGTCCCGTCCTCATATTCCCGTCCTCAGAGAGTATCAGAGAGAGACAGACCTACCAGAATGTCCCTCCTAACATTATCACAGAGAGAGACAGACTACCCAGAATGTCCCTTCCTTCATATCAGAGAGAGACAGACTACCCAGAATGTCCCGTCCTTCATATCAGAGATCGAGACAGACTACAAGAGAGACCAGACTACCCCAGAATTCCCGTCCTTCATATCAGAGAGAGACAGACTACCCAGAATGTCCCGTCCTTCAATCAGAGAGACAGACTACCCAGAATGTACTTTCCAAGAGACTACCCAGACTGGCCCCAGAATGTCCCAATCCTTCATATCAGAGTTCAGAGACAGACTACCCAGAATGTCCCGTCCTTCATATCAGAGAGAGACAGACTACCCAGAATGTCCCCGTCCTTCATATCAGAGAGCAGAAACAGACACCTCAAGAATGTCCCGTCCTTCATACTTTAGAGAGAGTAGACAGACTACCCATTAATGTCCCATCCTTCATATCAGGAGAGAAAGCAAACTACCCAGAATGTCCCGTGCCTTCATATCAGAGAGAGACAGAAGACTACGCCAGAATGTCCCATCCTTCATATGAAGAGACCAGACTATGTCATCCATCATACTCAGAAACGTAGCCCCATCCTTCATATCAGAGAGATGAGACAGACTACCCAGAATGTCCCGTCCTTCATAACAATAGAGAGACAGACTAGTCCCCAGAATGTCCCAGGTCCATTCCTCTATCATGAGATGAGACAGACTACCCAGAATGTCCCGTCCTTCATATAGAGAGAGACAGACTACCCAGAATGTCCCATCCTTCATATCAAAGAGAGACAGACGACCCAGGAATGTCCCGTCCTTCATAATCAAGAGAGACAGACTACCCAGACCTTGTCCACAAATCCTTCATATCAGAAAGAGACAGAAAATATACCCAAAATGTCCTTTCTTTCTTATTCCAAAGATAAGAGACAGACTAGAAAGAATGTCCCATCCTCTTTTCAGAGGAGAGACAGTACTACAAATATATCCCCTCCTTCATATCAAGCAGACCGAACAGGCTACCCAGAAATCCCACCCTTGAGCGAGAGATAAAATGAGTAGAAACTAACTGTCCCTAGAATGTTCCACGTCCTGTCAATTATGAAAAGAGAGACAGACTGTACCCAAAAGTCCCCATTACAGTAACACATATAAAAAGAGAGACAGACAACCCAGAATGTCCCATCCTTCAGATCAGAAGAGAGACTGTGACGCAACGCAGAATGGTCCCCTCCTTCATATGAGAAGAGAGAGACCAGACTACCCTAGAATGGTCCTTCACATCAGAGACCAAGAGAGACAGACCCAGAATGTCTCCCGTCTCGTCATATCAGATAGAGAAACTACCCAGAACTTCGTGGTAGGTCCCCCCGTCCAATCTTAGCAGAGAAAGACAGAGACTACCCAGTAAATACAAATTTGTCCTGGTCTTTTCTTATCAAAGAGACAGACAAACTACCCAGGAATGTTTTCCCATCCTTCTTTTCAGAGGGAGAGACCATAGACTACAAAGTATTCCCCCTCATTCATATCAGAGAGAGAGACAGACTACCCCAGCAATGTCACATTCTTCTATCAAAGAGAGACAGACGACCCAAATGTCCCACCTTCCATATCAGAGACCAATAGAGACAGATCTACCCCAGAATGTCCCCTCCTTCATATCAAAGAGAGACAACTACTCAGAATTTCATCCCGTCCTTCATATGCCAGAGAGCGACAGAACTACCCAGAAGTCCCATCCTTCCATATCACTACACAGAGATTGAGACAAGACTACCCAGTAAATGTCCCGTCCTTCATATCAAGGGAGAGACATTTGTTACTACAGTCAGAAATGTCCCGTCCTTCATATCAGAGAGAGACTGTTTGTGATACCCAAAAAAAAAAATAAATATAGTCCCGTCCTTCATGTCAGAGAGAACAGACTTTGCCCAGAATATCCCGTCCTTCAATTGATTTTTAGTAGACAGACTAAAAATGTCCAGGAGTGCTTAATAGTCTGTTCCTGTCCCTAATTTAATGACGCTTAGCCTTTGAAATGTGTGCCACATTGGAAGAATACTCAACGCTGACCCACAAGCTCAGTCTCCCTGAATACTTCTAGTTCATTATAATGAGAAAAGTGAACTTATAATATATGCCAGAATGAAGCGAGAGTCATAGCTGACAAACAGCATAAGCATTGATATTAGTCTCTGATTGGTTCATTTCCACCAGCGGGAAAACAATCTCCGTCATGGTATAGAGGGTGTTGATCTGCTTCCAGGCTTTATCTTATAGAGAAGAAAAACACAGTTCCTTTTGTTCCTCACCAAATCCCAACGATGGGAGGGGGGGGGCAGTATGAGTGTGAGCAGCACGGTTACTTAAGCAAGGATTTCTTTAAGTACCTGGGACAAATGCCCAGTTTGCAGGGCAGAAAATAATTCACAACAACATATGTCTTTTTAAAGTATAAAAGTAAATAACTTTTTAAAAACTTATAGAAATAGCGCATAAATATCTATATATATATAATATCAATAGGGAAACGGAAATAGGCATTTAAAACCAAAACCACATTACATCCCCCCCAAGTCAAAAAATGACTAATTTTCCCTCTGTCCCCTATAAGACCTACGGCTCATCTAAGTCCCTTATAAAGACCTTTCAGCTCATCGGCTCCCTATAAGACTCTCGCTCCATGCGTGTCCCCCCCTCCCCCCCCCCTTATGTCAACCATGTGAACTTTTATGGCCTGTAAACTTCCGACAGGTGAGTCCACTGTGGCGGAAAACCGTTCCCCCCGCCTGGGCTTTTTCCTCGTGCGGAGCAGTGTGCGTCTCACCCAATGGTCCTCATTTCAATTTCTTTTTCCTTTCTCAATCCCCGCAAGTCTTCCAAGCACCTCTCTCGGCCCAAGGCAGGTTATACCAAAGACCCACGAGTCAGAACTTCGTGTAGGGTGAAAACTGACAAATCTTTGGCATCAGAACTCAGCTCAGTAATATACACTTCACAACACCATTCACACATCAATCACCCCACCCCCCCCACCAGACAGACTGGCACCACAGGGTTCCCCCACCCCAACAAACCATACAATACAACAATACCTAGGAACTCTATAGAAGTGAAAGACTACAAAGTCCCCCATTTTTCCTGAAACAAACAGGTAAGAAAGGTCCCCTGCAACGTCCAGCTTTAGCAAAAGGGGATAAAAACCAGAACAGAAAGGGCAAAATGGTATCACAAAAACGGGACAATACGTCCCCCATTGACTATTTTCATTTCACCCCCCCTTAGGCCACAGACTTTGTACAATAAAGGAAGTCAAATGCTAATCCCTAGCAAAATTGTGAGAATTTTACTATTGAGCCCCGGGGAGGGACCGAA